CGTAGTGTTGAGAATTCATGGCCGTGGTTCAGAAATTAAAGGCCGTGGTGTTGAGAATTCATGTACGTGGTTCAAAAATTGAAGGTCGTGGTTTTGAAATTAAAGGCCGTTTATCTGAACCACAACCACGGCCGTGATCGATAAACTCACGGCCGTTAAAGTTTCCAGAAAAGAGCACAACATTCGTTTAGTTCCAACAATTTCAACCGATTTAGTCTGCTGAGTAATGAAAAATATATCAATTGGTTCTGTCGTATAATAGATAAGAGTACAACATTTGCCAAAATAGGTTACTAGTTCAATTAATGTTTTACATGTCTCAATCTATAGTTCTAAGTGGTTGGCGGCATGTTTTTCTATTATGACCCATGTTGCCACACCAACCGCATTTGTGGACTTGGCGGGTCTCCCCAGCAGATGGAATTCGTATAGTTTGACGTCGACCAACGCGCGAAACATATCTTGGGGGCTCCACTATACGGTCGACGAAGTCATCAGGTAATATCCAATCGTCCTTATCGCCGAGAGGGTAAACAGGTTCGACATATGTGTTAATGAGAGTTTGAATAGTATATGCAGGTGAGCATAGTGTGTACCTGTTCACGTTCCAATAGGTGGTCGCTGCAATAGCGTGGGAGCAAGGAAACTGAAAGTAGTCAAACTCTTTACATTCACAGGTCCTTGCATTTAAATTCACACGCACCCTTTTTAGTCCATCGCTAACCTCCAACTTGTGATGGTCAATGGGTGTGATGGAGTGAGTACGAGAGAGGTTCTCTGTAGTACGCATCTTATTCTCACCGTAGTTAGTGAGAATGGTTTCGCGACTGGATGCGTATGTTCGCCTCTCGTAAAACCAGCGTTGTAAGAGTGCACGAGCATGTTCCAGAAGTGCAGTGACTGGTAGAGAACGTGCATGGACAAGGACTGCATTCATAGACTCCGCAATATTAGATGTCATTTGGTCATACCTCAAACCCGGTTGAAATGCACGAGTCTATTTTTCAAAACCAATTCCTTCTAAGTATCGCTGGACCTCTGGAAATCCTGCTAGTTGGGAGAAATAGTATCTGAACTCTGATTTCCGGCAAGCCTTTACCGCTAATATGAACATTTCTTGCATGACATCGTCCTTGAACTTGTCCTTCAGGTTCGTAGACAAGTGTTGCATGCATATTCTATGAGCTACTTGTGGAAAGACCTGCCTAATAGATTTCGTAATGCACACATGTCGATCAGATACGAATAATAACCCATCGACCTTTCCAATACACGTCTTGACCATGTTCAGAAACCAAGTCCATGATTGATCACTCTCTTGATCGACAAGTTCAAAGGCAAGAGGATATATTTGATTGTTGCCATCAACAGAAGAAGTAATAAGAATAACACCTCTATATTTACCCTTGAGATGTGCACCATCTATCACCAGCACTGGGCGGATACAACTGGAGAACCTTCTAATATAGCAACCTAGGGCCATGAACGCGTACTTAAAATATTTATCTTCCTCCAGTTCCACTCCAAAAACAGTGCCTGCATTAACAACCTTCAATGCTTCACCATATTTGCATAACAAAGTATATGAATGCTTAGGTGACCCTATTAGCAGATTCAAGGCAACATTTTTCGCCATCCATGCCTTTTCATATCTAATGTTCACCCCATAGTTCTTTCGCATGTCGTTAATAATGTCTTTAGGTTTGTACTGGCGACTGACATCCTCCAGATTGGACTTCACTAACTGACCAACCACCCAACTCCGAGCTTGCCTGTGATCATGATTCAGTACTTCACGTTTGCACTTGTGAACATCATTAAACTTCGAAATGATGAATGAGTCACCACCTTGGATACTCTTTGCACGCAAACTTCATTTGCAACCTTGCTCGATACATCCAACAGTGAACAATGTCTTCGTCGATTTTTTAACTTTAAATTCGAAATTCAACTTCATAGCTAGCACAAACAGTTTGAAGCGTAGTTCTACCTTCGAATGGAAAATACCCTTAACAGCAATTTCACCTATGAAGTCGGACCCATTGCCAGTTATGATATTCTGCATCGGACGTGAAACAACTTCTTCAACTGTTTGATAAGGTGCATTCCCACTCATTGTATGCGACTCATGAACATGTTGACCTTCATTCTCATAATGTTCGTCAAGCACATCCTCGGTATGATATTCATCCTCCTCCCCATTGTCATATCCATTCCCACCATCGCCCTCAACCCCATCCTCGGTACGATATTCGTCATAATCATACTCATCATCACTCTGAAATTTGTACTCAACCTCGTTTTCGTACAGTTGACCATAATATGGAGATTCGTCGTCGTCTAGGTTACATGGGATAACGTTATCGGCTAATGGTGTAATCTGTGGGATAAATGAGGGAAGACCGACATCATCAAGAGGAGAGTCAATAGAAATAGTACGGCCAAAACATGGATCATTCTGCCTTGGGTAATATGGGAATGAAGACGATGTTTGGGTTTCGAAAAAATTATTTCCTCTCCTGCTCCCACTACCATATGATGCTTTAGGTATGACGGTTACGTATAAGGGTACTTGTGACGGATCAGGAGGGCCGTTCAAATAGAATTTCAAACTGCTGTCATCAAATATTAGATAGTTCGGGACTTCATACCGAAAATCAAATCTATATACGCACTGTACAATAAGATCAAATTGGTCAGGATCAATTCTAGTAAGCATGTGCAAGGCACTTACTAGGTTGGCATATGTTATTGTTTCATCAACATCTAGCCCACCCATGACCCCACCTTCGTACATCGTACCAGCCTCGTTCCACTTGCCACCATATATCACAAATAGTCGACGCATCCTACATGGAGAATAATAATAACACATAAGTAATAAGTAATCAAAGTTACCACGATCGTGTTAGTTTCAGACACGACCATAATATAAAGCACAAACACGAGTGGGGGCACATAATCGAACATTAGAGGACCACGGCCAAGGGAACATACAACCATGGCCCTTAATC